CATCTGATACGCGACCTCGACAGGCTCACCATCCAGGAGCGCTACAACGCCAAAGATCAAGTGCAAGTCGACAATGGTGCAGGTTTGTCTATTTCGCATATTGGTCAATCTGTTATTTCTGGCTCGTCACGCCCACTCTATCTTCGCAACATATTGCATGTTCCACATGTTAGCAAAGATCTTTTTATCTGTGCACAAGTTAACCTCTGATAATGATGCTATTGCTGAATTTCACCCTGATCGTTTCTATCTTAAGGACTGGGCAACGAGTGCAGTTCTTCTTCAAGGTAGATGTCATGGCGGTCTCTACCCGGTGCCAAGCCTCAGGTCGTCCGTGTCCAGTCGTCGAGCGCTCTCCAGCATGAAGCTTTCTCATGATCTTTGGCATCGATGCTTAGGTCATCCCAGCAAAAGTGTCGTCGAGTCTGTTCTTAGGTTAAATGAATTTGCTTGTGCACCATCTGTTGAATCTAGTGTCTGTGGTGCGTGTCAACGTGCTAAAGTCCATCAGTTGCCTTTTAGGGATTCTACTCATGTAACCCATGCACCTCTCAAACTTATTCATTCTGATGTATGGGGCCCAGCAACCACTTCGGTTGGGTTTTTTAAATATTATGTGAGTTTTCTTGATGATTATAGTCGCTTCACCTGGATATATCTTCTTAAACGCAAATCTGAACTAGAGCAAATTTTCTACACTTTTCAGAAGCACGTTGAACGCATGTTAAACACCAAGATTAAAATAGTCCAGACCGATTGGGGTGGCGAGTACCGTCGTCTCTCTAAATATTTCCATCGTGAGGGAATCACCCATCGAGTAACTTGTCCACATACTTCCCAACAAAATGGCATCGCTGAACGGAAGCACCGCCACATCGTGGAAACCGGCATTGCTCTCCTTGCACACTCTTTTCTCCCTGTAAAATTCTGGGACGAAGCATTTGTGACTGCCTGTTATCTTATAAATCGCATGCCCACTCGTACACTGAAAAATTCTTCACCAGTCAAACGTCTCCTAAATGAACAGCCTGATTACACTTTCCTCCGTGCCTTCGGCCGTGGATGCTGGCCAAACTTGCGTCCATACAACAATAACAAGCTTGCATTCCGTTCTCGCCAATGTGTATTTCTTGGGTATAGCTTCATGCACAAAGGCTATAAATGCTTAGATCGCTCGACGGGTCGTATCTACATTTATCGTGACGTTGTTTTCGACGAGCAAGTTTTTCCTTTTGCATGCACAACACCCACGCCACCACTCCTCCCCACGCCACCATCTATTTTTCCTTGTTCCGAGCCAGTTATTGCTAATGACCACATGCGGAATTATGACTTAACCTTTGCCTCCTGATGGTTCGTCTAGCATTGATTCTTGTGCATGTTCAGATCCCTTTGTCTCGTCTTCACCCTCGCGTGCAACGCCTGCAGCCAGCCGAGGGAAGAAAATCATGTACGACCAGGTCGCACATGCACAAACGGGAGACCCACCTCTCCATGCGACACGTGGCAAACCGAATCTCAAAGCAACCATTAGTTCCTTTGCCAAATCCCAATTTGTAAAGATCAGACTCGATGTCCATCTCCAGCCGCCGCCGGTGTGATCCACCTCGGCTGCTCGCCGCATCGTCGCCGGTGCGCTCCTCGAAGACAGGTGCAACTCCCTACCTCGGCGCGCTCCATCACCGCCGGCAACGTCCATGCTCGGCGACGGCGCAACTCGCGGCTTCGCCCCTGATGCTTTTCCCCGTCGGCGAGTTGTGCGCAGAGGACATCCGATGGGCGGGTTGTCATTTGTGTTCCTTGCTCCGGCGAATCGTTGCCGTTGTTGGGCTGTGCCAAATTATGTGCCGTCGCCGGCGAGATGGGTAGAGATGACGATGGTTTGTCTGGTCGTGGAAGGTGGGCTGAAACTTGGAAACGATGAACGATGCTTTGTCTAGTCGTGGAAGGTGGGCTGAAACTTGGAAACGATGAACGATGCTTTGAGATTCGGTATGCCACGTGTCGCATGGAGAGGTGGATCTCCCGTTTGTGCATGTGCGACCTGGTCGTACATGATTTTCTTCCCCAGCCGAGGGACGTCCGCCACTAGATCAGCCTCGCCATGCACTCCACTTCAGCCACCTGCAGGCGGGTCGAGTCAGGACGATACGTCGCCAACCGAGCCCTCTGGTCGCTCCCTCGATTTTGGTCCGGCCTCCCTTGCGTCTCCGGATGCGGCTGACGAGCCGACACAGGACTCAACTCCCATGGCGTCTCCTGAGCTACAGGCTGTTCCAACGCCTGTGGCCGGTGCTCCTGCAGCTCCACATCGCATGCAGATGCGGCTTCGCGACAACATCGTCAAGAAGCTGGTGCCGACGGACGGTACTGTGCGCTACGATCCTCGGCGGCGCGCTTTTCATGTTGAACCACGGTCCTATCGACACGCGCTTGCCGACCACCAGTGGCGCGCCGCCATGGAAGCCCAATACTTTGCTCTCCAGCACAACCACACATGGACATTGGTTCCGCGTCCGCCTGGCAAGAATATCAATGGGTGCAAATGGGTGTTCAAAGTCAAGCATAAATCTGATGGATCGTTTGACAAGTTCAAGGCTCGCCTTGTCGCTCGTGGGTTTACTCAACAGTACATCATCGATTATTCAAATACTTTCTCTCCTGTTGTGAAGCCTGCTACAGTGCATTTGGTGCTCTTCCTGGCTGTTTCCCGTGGCTAGCAGCTTCGTCAAGTGGACATCAGCAACACATTTTTGTATGGAATTCTTGAGGAGGAGGCATACATGCAACAGCCGCCGGGGTTCCAAGATCCGAGCCATCCGAACTATGTTTGCAAGCTTCAGAAGGCGTTGTATGGGTTGAAGCAGTCACCGCATGCTTGGTATGCTCGGCTTCATGATCGTCTTCAACAACTTGGTTTTGTGCCATCTGCAGCAGACACCTCGTTGTTCATCTTTCATGAAAATGGTGTCACTCTTTACATGCTGGTGTATGTTGACGACATGGTCATCGTTGGCTCTTCCACGAGGGCGGTTGAATGCCTGCTTCGCCAGCTCTCTGCTACCTTCCCTGTTAAGGATCTTGGTCCATTGAATTATTTCTTGGGCATTGAAGTGATCCGCAATTCCGGGGGAATCAACCTTGTTCAGCAGAAGTATGCACTCGATCTACTGGAACGCTCAAACATGGCGAATTGTAGACCAATTCCAACGCCGATGTGTACACATGAGAAGCTCACACATGAGTCTGGGCAAGCATTGAATGAGAATGATGCCTTCAAGTACAAGAGCACGGTAGGCGCGTTGCAATACTTGACACTGACAAGGCCAGACCTGTCGTTTGCAGTGAACAAAGTGTGCCAGTATTTGTCACGTCCCACTGATGTACATTGGGAAGCAGTGAAAAGAATCCTTCGCTTTGTTAGAGGAATAGTATTCATCGGTTTATCCATTCGGTGCTCACCATCAGTCCTCATGAGTGTGTTCACTGACGCGGATTGGGCCGGTTGCAGCGACGATCGTCGTTCCACGGGTGGCTTTGCGGTCTTCCTCAGGCAAAATCTTATATCTTGGAGCGCCAGAAAGCAACCAACCGTGTCTCGTTCCTCGACTGAAGCTGAATACAAGGCGCTGGCGAATGGCACCGCTGAAACTACATGGTTACAGTCTCTGCTGAAGGAGCTGCAGGTAGCTCAGCCTCGACCTCCTGTACTATGGTGTGACAATCTCGGGGAGACGTATCTCACTGTGAACCCAGTTTTTTATGCACGCACAAAGCATATAGAGGTGGACTTTCATTTTGTGCGAGAAAAGGTTGCCATGGGTGCTTTGGACGTTCGGTTCGTCTCCTCAGCAGATCAAGTTGCCGACGCCTTCACTAAACCTCTCACCAAGCAGACACTCGAGCGACTTCGTTCCAATCTCAACCTCTGTACCGGCTGAGATTGCGGGGGAATGTTAAACGAGTCTATAACCTAACCATAGGTTGTTAGGACCAGCTCGTGTGCTGTATCGATAATGATCAAGTTAGGTTGTTGTAGATAAAATCCTAACAGAATTGTATCTATCTTGTACTCTGCCTGAGTATAAATGGAAGGCAGGGCCTGACGCATAAGTCACGGCAATTCATTCCTTCTGACTTTCGCTATAGTGAACAAAGGGATATTGGGCTCACACCCCAAGTAGCCGGCCGGGCTGTCTGGGGCCTGCCTCCACCGCTGAATGACGGTAGTGATTCGTTCGGTGGTCCAAGGACCTTAGTGTGATTTTTATATTAAAGATGCTACTACTGATGAACTTTTCAAAATAGACCCGGATCCTTTTACGCAAAAGGAAAAACGCTTCCTACGGCTCCTAGGGTAGAGAGGTTGGCTTCTCCATCCATCACTTGTCGCGGACGGACGACAGATGAATGTGGCGCAGTACGTGCAAGCATCGGGTGCAGTTACCTCACCGTCGTGCATACTACACCGAAAAGGTCTTTTTCCACAGGGTCTCTCCCTGCAAAAGGTTAATCTCCGGTACAAAATTAAAAGCCAGCCTAACAGAACAACCCAACAGCTCCGGCGATCTTCCAAGTCAATCTCACTCCAAAACAAGACCAAAAACCTGCTCTCGGAAAGCGGCAGCACGAGCAGGCCAAGAAACCAACCACCTCACGTACGTAGGTACTGCCCACGACGACGCCACCACTAACTCGCCCCGTCCGTCCTCTCCCCCCACTCGCGGCTCGCGCCAGCTTCAATTCATCGCCACTCACCACCAGCCACCGGCCACCACCACCACCACCACCACATTCGCCCAGGCCGCTGCCTGCCCCGCAGTGGTACCCTCCCCCCCGCCCGTGTCCGCCCTCCTAAAACGAGCGTCGGCCCCGAAATAGCCCGGCACCACGAGCACCGCCCACCGGCCACTCATTGAATCCATGCTGCCCTTGTCGTCGTTAACTCCTCTGCCTCCTTGCCTTGCCCGGGAGTGAGCGAGCGAGCGAGCGAGAGCGGCATGATGAAGCTGCGGTGGTGGCGGGTCGACGCGTCGGAGGTGGCCGCCGTCACGGCCATGGGCGTCTGGGAGGCCGTCCTGGCTGGCGGCGGCCGGCGCTTCATCAAGCGCAAGGACAGCGACGCCGGCGAGACCGGTCGGTACCGTCGCCCTCTTCCTCCTCCCCCCTTTATCTGCATGCGCGGTTGCTCTTCTGTTCCGTTCGTGCCAGTTTTTTTGGTCCAGAACCAGAAGTCAGGTCAGGGAGATTCTCCAGGCCGAGGAGAACTGCTCCCGTTTTGTTGCGAAATTTCGGCAGATTTTGGTGCGGGGGAACGGCACGATAGCTGCGCCCTTTCGCGGTTTGTTGGGCGCCATTTCCCTGGGAACGGCAAGGCCGTTGCTGGCTGCTTGTTGCTCGGCATGCCCGCTCCGTTTGGATCCTTTTCCGGTGCGGGGCTCCAGGGCATCATCGCCAAAGTGTGACGCTTTCTTATCCCTTTCTTCACGTACCTCTGAAATCTTTACTTAGCAATTTCTGCTTCAGTGAGATTAGCAAGTTAATTTCATCCGTGGTGCCATTACTCTGCGTAGCTAGTTTAGTGTATTATTGTGTTCTTTAGCCCTAGCATTCCTCCCCAATGGATTCCACAAAATAGATATGATCTCACCATGGTTGGTGTCCACCATGGTGCCCCAGTATCTGCACATGCTCCTGCTGCACTCAATCTCTCACGAAATCCTGTGGAGTTGCTCTGGAAATCAACGTGTGAAAAACCTGATCCAGTTTACATCCACTGACTTAATGTCGCCCCGTCGTCATGCATACAGGTCGGGCGCTGGAGGAGCTGCGGAGCTCCCTGTACAACGAGATGCACAGCTCGGAGGGGGCCAAGCGCCAGCAGCAGCGGTTCTGCGGCCCGTCCGTCGCGCTCACCTTCAACTTCGCCGTCGCCGTTGGGATCATCGTGGCCAACAAAATGGTACGTACAATCCCCACATCATCCACCTACATATGCCGCCTTCGTTAGTCCACGTACGAGTTCGTAGCAAGATTTCATTTACTCACGGATGAATCGTCTTGTAGGTGATGGGGAGTGTCGGGTTCAAGTACCCGATCGCGCTGTCGCTGATCCACTACGCGGTCGCGCTGGTTCTCATGGCGATCCTCAAGGCGCTGTCCCTGCTGCCGGTTGCGCCGCCTTCCAAGTCGACGCCCTTCTCCTCTCTGTTCGCTCTGGGCGCCGTGATGTCTCTCTCCACCGGGCTCGCGAACGTGAGCTTGAAACACAATAGGTAAACCGGATTCTGTCTAGACTTACATATGTTCAGTGATGTTGCTCCATGTGTTTCTCAGTATCTTTGCCATTCAGTGTAGGTTTCTACCAAATGGCTAAGATTGCCGTGACTCCGACGATCGTCGCGGCGGAGTTCATGCTTTTTAAGAAGAAGGTTTCCTGTCAGAAGGTAGGTTTACCTCCATAGTTACTGATGAGCTGCACATGTCTTTCCTGTACGTTGAACACAACTGTTGTCATATTTCTTCAGAGGAAGAAAGCCCAACAAATTGTGCTCTAAATACATGTCTTGTCGTCTCTCCACCGGACTACCACTCATGCCATATGTGTGCATGTGTTTGTTTGTTGTTGATAGTGCAAACCTGTTACGCTGTCAAATTTATTCAGTTGGTTTTAACTGGAAATCCTGTTCAACATTTACAGGTTATCACACTGGCAACGGTGTCAATCGGAGTGGCTGTGGCCACAGTCACGGACCTAGAGTTCAACTTCTTCGGCGCCTGCGTAGCACTGGCATGGATCGTCCCTAGCGCGGTAAACAAGATCCTGTGGTCGAATCTGCAGCAGTCCGGAAACTGGACCGCCCTCGCGTAAGTTCCAAGCTCTGCATTTCGATCCGCGCATTGTTTTTCGGTTAAGTGACACGGATTGTTCGATCAACCAGGCTGATGTGGAAGACGACCCCCGTCACCATATTCTTCTTGCTGGCGCTGATGCCTCTGCTGGATCCGCCGGGCCTGCTGCTGTTCAACTGGAATTTCAGAAACAGCTGCGCCATTGTCATCTCTGCTCTGTTCGGCTTCCTCCTCCAGTGGTCCGGCGCTTTGGCACTTGGGTGAGACCATGGTTCCTCTCTTCACAAGAACATTCTTCCTTCTGAAATTTCATGCTGCTAATTGACTCCGTGTTGATTTGTTTGTGGCGTGCATTGCAGCGCGACCTCGGCACTGTCGCACGTGGTGCTGGGGCAGTTCAAGACCATCGTCATCATGCTCTCCGGCTACCTCATCTTCCGCTCCGACCCCGGGGTCACCAGCATCTGCGGCGCCGTCGTGGCCCTCGGCGGCATGTCCTTCTACACCTACCTGGGCCTCAAGAAGGAGACGGCGGCGCCCAGCGGCAAGAAGCCGCCGTCCAGATCGAATTCCTTCCTGGGCAAGCCCGCCGGCGATGGGGGCAGCTCGGACTACGAGGACTCCGTGTGAGTTGGGAGTTTTGCTTGGGGTGACTTTGGTGGCCGGTTGTGTTGTAAACCTCGTGGTAGACTCTCACTTCATCTGTTGTACATAGAAGAACTTTCCTTTTCCCTTTTGCTAGGTGACTTCTCAATGATTTTACACTTGAAGCTTTCTTAGTGCAGCTTTAGCTGATCCAAAAATGGTTAGAGGAGTAAATTTTTCAGTTTACTCCTCTAACTGGCACCTAGCCGGACTTGTATAATGGCTCGAGGAGAAAAAAAAAATCATACTCCTCAACACCACGGAATCCTATATTTTCTCGTCCGACCACCTTCCCGAGTAAAAATTGCCCCTTCTCCCCTCGGTCGGACCCACCCCACCCCGCGCCGCATCTACTCCGGCGCCTCACTTCTTGCTTTCGCCGCCCACCATGCGCCACCGATGTCGCTTAAATCGACAGATATACGACCCTTGTCGCCGACGCCGGATTCAACGCAGCCAGACCTCCAACGTTGTCACGTTTTGGATGGATTTGACAGGGACTGAACCGCGCAACCGCCTCAACCACTCCGTGCCGCATCTCGGTTTGTCATCCTCCTTTCGACGCTCGAATCTCACCCGACAAACTGATCAATGGCACAACCACGTCCATCTGTCGGCTGGGCTCAGCACTAGCCCAGCGGTTTGTCTGCTCATCATTGTCGGTCCTCAAGTGTGACCACTGCCCGTGTTTGGTGCTGCGTCGAGTTTTGAGCACGCCAAAACATCTCGAATGAGTGTTCTTCAAGTGCGAAAAGGACGAGATGAGTGGCTATTTTTATGTCTTTCTTCGAATTCCTCGCAGTTGGAACTTATTGTTTGCTCTAAGTTGTGTGTAGGAAGGATGCAAATTTTTGTATTGGAAAGAAGGGTACATTGATCAATTGTTAGGGAGAAAATTGCTAGATATTCGTGCACTATTTGTTATAGTTGAGACGAGAGATGACACAATGTCCAATTATGTGGAGGCGGAGAAGAACGAAATGTGCAAGCTCAAGAAGCCAACAGAGAAAAGGCAACAAAAGTATCTAATTGTTCTTGTAGTTTTCTCTGGATCAATTCTCTTAGCGAAGAATCGGTGAAGTATTTAACCATGATGTCGTTTAATAAAGTAATACAAGAGAGAAGTTTATTTCGGTGGCCCAAAATAAAATGAAATTTGATAATATTTTTTTACTCCGCTAAGTTTGGGAGGTTGGCTAGAAATGACCAAAATTTAAAAGAGTAAAAATACATGAAATTTTTTCTTGAATTGTGCAAACTTTCTTTTACATTTTATAAAAATAATTTTTGAATATCACGAACAGTTGTTTGAAACACGTGAGCATTTTTAAATGCATTTTTTAAATTACATTAACATTTTTCTAAAAGTTGCGTTAACATTTTTTTACACTGTATGTACATTTTTTTAACTGCATGATTTTTTAATAAATTTCACTAACGCATTTTATATTTCACGAACATTTCTTTTACAACATGCGCGTTTTTTACACTAGAGATATATGTATAGAGAAAAAGAAAATAAAGTGTCGCCATCCAGAAGGAGACGCGCGGCTCTCTGGTCGTGTCCATCGCGCCGTAGAAAGATGGGCCCTTTGAAAAGCCTGTCTGACCGGCCTGTTATCTCAAGCCTGCCTAACCGGGGCAGCGCCCACGACCAGGCCCGTGTTAAAACCAGCGTGTCTTCTCTCGCTTAGGGTTTTAGGTTTTCGCCAGCCACCCCCTACCGTCCCTCCCGTCCCTCCCGTTCCCCCCACCCCATGGCCCGGAAGGTCGCGCAGCGCAGGCCGGCGGCGCCTCCCGCACCGCCCGCGGCCAAGAAGGTGGTCAAGGTTCCCTCGAGGGCGGCCAAGAGCGCGGCGCCGAAGAAGCAGAAGCTTCCCGAGCCCTCCTCCGACGACGACTCCGAGGCGGAGCAGCAGCCGCTCCACGAGGAGGAGGAGGAGGATTCAGACGTCGACGCCCCCTCCGACTCCGACGCCGATGAGCTCTCTGGCTCGGACGCCGGTAGCAGCGAGGAAGAGGAGGACGACGAGGAGGAGGAGGAGGAGGACGACGACGACGAAGAAGAAGAGGACGACGACCCCCTCGCCGGCGACTTCCTTGCCGGCAGTGACGACGACAGTGGTAACTCTTCGATTGCTTGACGAGTAGAAGCGTACTAGTATTGAGTGGAATTAGCTTCAGCAGCTTCAGTTTTCTCCATCAAGCCATCCCATTGTAGAGTTCATGGCCGCTAGTTCAGTGCACGGCTATGCAAATCAGTGCTGTGTTTTCTATCCAGGGAATCGAAATTGATGGGCTTTGTTGTGTTTCTTAGACGAGGGGGGCGACTCTGGAGAGGAATCAGATGGGTCTGATGACCTCGAGGCAAAGTCAGCAGCTCTTGATCGACAGAAGGAGCAGATTGAAGAAGATGCAGCTGCGGACCTTGCACTCAACATAAGATCAGAATCTGATGAATTCCGGTTGCCCACCAAGGAGGTTGCTTTTCCTTCTTCTGTTCACATTTTTTCTTTCTCAGTATTGTTTATGTGCTGCACATTGTAGGCTGCATGGACTTACCATGGTTTATAATTTAAAATCTGCAGGAGTTGGAAGAAGAGGCACTTGGACCACCTAACCTTCCAAATCTTAAAAGGAGGATCTCGGAAAGTAAGTTTATCCAATATCTTGTACTCCCTCCGTAAAGAAATACAAGTACAGAGGGAGTATTTATTAAAGTTCAGAAACCTTCAAAGATAGGTAGATAGATAAAGCTGAAATGGTGTTGGCGCAAAATTGATTCATGCTTTTGTAATTGAGGTGCATTTCTTAGCTCGTATAAAATTGCAAAGTCAGATTGTAACAAGAGGAGTGCATAGAGACCATATGCAATCTACTGATTTTCTATTTTTTTCCCTTAGCAGATTGCTATGATCAGGAATACCATTCAGTATACATTGAATTGATTTTCTGTGTTTGATCCACTTCAATCTATAGACCTTTCTGAGCTTGGTTTCTCTGTCTATTTGTTGGTTTCCTGTCTAGTTGTACGGGTACTCTCAAACTTTAGCAAGCTGAGGCAAGAAAATGTTGCCAGAAAAGATTATGTTGATCAGTTCAAGACGGACGTGATGGCGTACTATGGATACAATGAATTTCTCATTGAAGCATTTGTTGAGGTAAGCTGCCTATCCCAGCCAGTGATTGTCTGATATATCCGCTACCAGTATTTCTTTCAGTTTGAGTTGTGGTGATCCAGCTGTCTGATATTAGTAGTTGCAAATTGTCTGTCTGGCACGATTATTAATTTTTATAATGATTTAGCTGCTGTTGTTGTGAACATTCTGTGTGCTACATTGCAGATGTTCCCAGCTGTTGAGGTTGTTGAGCTACTTGAATCATTTGAAAAAAGACCCCCTGAGTGCTTGCGTACAAATACACTAAAGGTAATAACATATTAGCTCAATTTCTTGATGTATGTGTATGTCACCAAAGATTCTATAGCTGTTAGTCTCTAACTGTAGATTTATCACTGCTTCATTAAGTATGTCTCTCTCTTATCTTTGTGGGTTTGCAGACCCGTAGGAGGGATCTTGCTGCTGCTCTTATTCCTAGAGGGTTTAATCTGGATCCGATTGGAAAATGGTCAAAGGTTTGCTTTCTTTCAACTTATTTTCTTTTACAACTAAATAATATGGAATATTAAAGCAAGCCTTGTGGTTTGGACAATTTCAGGTAGGATTAGTTGTGTACGACTCCACTGTTTCGTCTGGCGCCACTGTTGAATATATGGCAGGACATTACATGGTATCTTCCTCTCCCCTATTATTCGTTAGATTGTTTTCCTCACTATCCATCTACCAGCAATTCATCTTATCTTTTAATACTGTGATTACAGAAACAAGGCGCGAGTTCCTTTTTGCCAGTGATGGCTCTTGCTCCACAGGAGAAGGAGCGAATAGTTGATATGGCGTAAGATTTCCCCCCACTCTCATAATCCTTTTGCAATAATTCATTTGAACTAGTTTATAACTGTGTTTGCATGTATGTAAGCCTTCATATGCTATCCTATTGTGTCACATGCTTGCTTCTGCATTTGATATTAACCTTTAACGAATTATTCATGTCAGTACTTCCAAAGATAGAAACTGATTTTCTTCTTGGTTCCAGAGCTGCCCCAGGTGGCAAGACCACATACATTGGAGCTCTGATGAAAAATACTGGTTAGTTCATTATGCCTGTTTTGCCTTTTGACTATGTGGTCCTTCCTTCAAAGTGCCTGTTCTTTCTTTTTAGTAGCTGTTGAATGATATAATTATCCTGTATTTTTCTTCCTGCCTTGCAGGAATAATCTATGCAAATGAGCTTAACGAGAAAAGGTTGCATGGACTGTTGGGCAACATACATCGCCTGGGTGTGACAAATACCATAGTTTGTAATTATGACGGTAAAGAGGTAAGCAGAAAATACGACCATTGTATGTTCTCAGGGGCACAGAGCATTCTTTAGGCCAAAGAACCAAAGGATAGTCAACTAATTGTATGCAACAAGTTAGCATAATAAATCATTACCAATATAACATAATGCTTTGTAGAGAACTTTTAGTATGAAGGCATTTCAATGCCAAGCTAATATTATCTGGTCCATTTCAATCATAAGAAAATGAATTTGGAATCCTAGTAATTGTCAGACACTTCAGTTTATTGCATCGTGTGCTCAATTGACATCAATTATTTTATGATCCAATTTATTTCAGCTCCCCAAAGTACTTGGAATGAACTCAGTTGACAGAGTACTGTTGGATGCGCCCTGCACAGGCACCGGAGTTAGTATAATCCAATTCATATTATTCTTCTGTACTCATTATACATCGTCTTGGCTATTTCATCTGATATGTACTCATTATACATTGTCTTGCCTATTTCATCTGATAGTCAATCTCACTCTGTTTCTGCAGACCGTTTGGAAGGATGCACAAATAAAAACATCTAAGGACATCGATGACATCAGGAATTGTGCTTTCGTACAAAAGGTACATTTTATTCACAATTCAAAAATAAATACACGTTCTCCAATTCAAACCCATTCCCACTTTAAAATTAACGACAGTTATTAACCCAGTAATTCTCCAAATTAAATCTACTCACCTCCACATGAATTTATTTTTTAGTTGGTTTTGAAGCAATTAGTATCGCTGTGTCTCTTATCTCTTGTAAAGTTGTCGTGTAAGTAAGTATCATATATTGTTATGTTCTACTTATCTGCTTAGCTATTACTCCCTCCGTAAAGAAATATAAGAGTGTTTAGATCTAAACGCTCTTATGTTTCTTTACGGAGGGAGTATTTTCAAAGTTATGTCTTATTATAATTTAAACCTTTCAACTTTACGGTTTCCATTAGAAGTTCTTAGGCTCATGATATAGTATGGTTAAACTATATTCGCAGTATGAGCCTCAATTACCTTATTTTTTAGCATACCAACTCCGAGAAGCTGATAAACTTGTTTTGCAGCAATTGCTTCTGGCTGCTATTGATTTGGTTGACGCCAACTCCAAAACTGGTGGTTACATTGTTTACTCTACTTGTTCGATGATGATTCCAGAAGTAAGTACATTTTTCTTGTTTGCTGGATAATGATTGAACTTCAGTAACTGAACCCTCCAACTTTGTGTAGAATGAAGCAGTCATCGACTATGCCCTTAAAAAGAGAGATGTAAAGGTTGTTCCTTGTGGATTAGATTTTGGACGCCCAGGGTATGTTAATCTTACTACCGCCTTCCTCTTTTAAGATCTGGTACTTTACTTATGTTTCCCTGTTTATTATCGTACAGATTCATCCGGTTCCGGGAGCATCGCTTCCATACGTCTTTAGACAAAACAAGGAGGTTTTATCCTCATGTCAACAACATGGATGGCTTTTTCGTAGCCAAGGTACATTTTATGATGTTTGGATTATTTACCAGGAGTGACGATAACTGAACCATATGATCACATGTTAGCTTCTTGAGGTGTCTTATCTTTCATAGCATGAATTTTCATCCAGGAACTTTATGTGAAAATCTAACTTCTGTTGGCAAATAGTTTGATGATCTCATTTACACATTGGACTGTTTAGAATGTATTTAAGTTATCACGTATAGTTGATTCTATAAAAGTAAAACTGCAAAATATAAAATAAAATCTGATGGGGTATTTCATTTCATACAGCTGAAGAAGATGAGCAACACAATTCCAGCCTCGTCCGAGTCATCTAAAGAGCCCGAAGAAGCAGCGGAGGGCGTTGTTGACCCAAACCAGGATGAGGAAGATGAGAAAGATGTTCCTGATGGGCAATCCACCAAGTCGAAGAATCATAAACAGGGAAAGAAGAAAAATGAACAAGCAAGTATCCCTGAAGGGGAGGGGGACCAGAGCCAGGCACCTGAAAGACCAGCAAAGCACCCCAAGAGCAACAAAGGAGTGAAGAAAAGTAGTGGCCCTAAAAGTGCTGAAATGAACGGAGATAAGAAAGGAACACGCGATGAACAAACAGAGCATGTCAAGAGTCAGAAGGGTTCCAAGAAAAGTAAAGGCCCTAAAAATGCTGGAATGGATGTAGATGAGAAAGAAACACCCAGTGAGCAAACAGAGGAGGTCAAGAGCCACAAGGGTGCGAAGAGAAGTAGTGGACCTAAAAGTGCTGGAATAAATGGAGAGAAGAAAGATGTGCCCGAGGAACAAACAGAGCAGACCAGCCACAAAAAGAAGCATGTGTCTGATAAAATTAAGAAGTCTGGTTCCAAGAGCACCTCAGGGACCAAAGAGAAGAAACCGGTGTCCAATGAAGGAAGCAAGAAGAGGAAAAGGAAATGGCAATTCAAGCTGAGGCGGGACTGGTGAGAAGCTTATCTTTGGCCTATTGCCCGTTTTTTCTCTTGCTTTGTGTGATTATTCTTGATCAACAATTTTACTATTGACAGGGAGGCAAAACAGAAGTCGGAGAAGAGGACGAAGGTATAAGAATTGATGGTTCAAGAGAGAGCCACATTAGCCTTAGAAGAGGAGATTTAAAGTGAAACATTGATGTGCTATGTATGAAGAAATGTAAAAGGAACGACTGTACACTCAATTTTGGTCTACGGTACAAGTTTGTGGTGAAGCAAAATTTTGTTGTACGCTGGAAGTGATTGTGTAATCTAATCACTGATATTTTATTTTCTGTGTTTAGAGAGTGTGACCAGTCTATTCTAGTTTTTCTCAGTGAAGTCGTCATGGACACCGAGGCTCCTATTACTAAATGTTGTTCTGGGCAACCTACCGTGTTTGATCGGATCATTGTGTGTGGCTGTAGCTGAAGTTCTATTGATGCATTGGCAACCTAAGGCTTTCACCGTGTTTGACCGAATTGTTCTTTGTGGGCTGTAGCTTAAGTTCTATTGATATACATGAGCAATGCTCTTGTTTTTTTTTTTTGCTTAGATAGATGAGGCGCCTACAACGCTCTTCACTTGTTCTAACATTTGGAAACGTCTGTGTTTGTCTCTTTTGCACGTACCAAACATGAATTTAACTGTGATACATGCGTAAGCTACAACTTTGTAATCATATACTTTGGGACAACAACGTCTGGTCTGAAGGTAAGAAGAGATTGCTCATTTCTCACTATGCCCTTGTCTAAGAGGCATAGATCAGGATTTGTGCTGCACACACGATCCAGAAGAGTCCTAACGCTTCTGTGGACCAAGGCGGACGCAAATTTGGTCCTCTAGACGCAACATAATCAAACAGCTTCCAAAACTGGATGAACTCGAGTTCTTTAGGATTAGACCCAATCTGTGATGACCATTGGTGGGTCTTGAACCAATGCCATAGCTAGTCATGTTAGTGTTTGCCAAGGGATCTACAATGCAATGTTTTTTAACAGCCACCAGGTATCTCGAAAGCACATCAAATAAAATAACATCGAGCTGCTAAATGCAACAATTAGCAGAGGAAGTTTATCGGGCAGTTGATTCCGCAAGTAGCAGATACAGCTTGAGAGAGATTTTGTGCTTCCAAAATGCAAATACCAGAAATGCACAATTTTTCAAATGCACATCTTTAAAACCCACATGCTCCAGAACATCCCAAATTCCAACCAACCGAGCATAACATCGTCATGTAGAACACCAGGGCCATAGCCTTGCTACAACACATATAGCCAAGGCGTCAAAAACTTTAAAACCTAGGAGTTTCACATGAGGACATTACGCATAACAGATTTTCGTCGCCATCTCCAGATCAGTTACTTTTTAAGTTCTAGCATTACCACTATGGACAAGTAGTATATTACTTGAGGTAGACTCTCCTTGGTGCACAAAACCTGGCATTGTTTTGAGGATTGCTTCGCAGGCTTCAGTTCATGGTCTTGTAGGCCCTGAAAGCGACGAACACCGTTGCAGCAGCTCCAACAACAGCAAGAGTGGTGTAGGTGTCGGACCTATCCCAGGTCTCGAACCAGGTGGGCATCCGGCAAATCTTCATGCGACCCTTGCTGGCGGCAACACTTTCTTTGACACTCTCTGTCTTGGAGATCCTGAGGTTCTGCTCAGCTGGAATGCTCTCATCCTGTTTTCCTTCTGGCAGATCACTTTGGCAGCAGCTAAGGCCTCCTCCATTGCCCTGGCAGCATCCACCTGCAGGTGCACTGTCAGTTCCATTTGCTTCAGGGGATTCTTTGGCGCTTGATTCTTCCCCAGCCACACCATTCGTCATGTGCCTAAGCTCCAGAGCTTGCTTCTGCTGCTCTTCAGACATACCCAACTGACCCCTGTATAACAGGATAGCATGTGTAAGAATCGCACTTGAAAGAGGGGTATTTGGCTGTGGAGCAAACATAGGGCAAAGGTTCAATGAAACATGAACAAGACATATCAGGGCTTAAACAACATTTGCAAAACAAGATTGCATATCCTTTATTATTGGTTTCCTTGCAATGAGATTGACCACAGAAAGGTCATTTTTCAATTTCTGAAGTCACCGCAAATAAACAAATCAAGGTTATTTGAAAGTACAACACAGTATCCTCACATGGCATCACACGAACAGAATAAGTCGTACAAATGAGTGCTTAAACATAATTGACGAAAACTACACAGGCAGTACAAACAACCTACAACATGCTGTCTAGATGCTTATAGTCACAGTAGTCTTACTTTGCTATAATGCTCAAGTAAAGAAGCATCAGTGACAGACTTCCATCCCAGTATCTTCCCTCAAATCAAGATTAGACTACTTGAAGTAATCAAATCATTTCGAAATAGATTAACCAGTGCTATAGGCATACAAGTACTAGAGCACACACCAGGCAGTTTTTATAATATTATCAGATTATTGATTTAGGCTCAGAATCTATGATGTATAAGCACGGCCAAGTCCAGATAGAACAGCAAGAGAAAAGGACACAGATCTGAAAATGCTAATAGTACTCAATGACATGACACTACAACACTGATACAAATGATTGGTGAAACACTAACTAGATATCCTCTTTAGTCAAAATCAACACATGGAATGGATTAATTAAAAGAGGAAGCATACCTCCATAGACGGTCCACAATCGCTCCTCTTTGTCCAATTTGTTTGTGCAGTAACTCAGGCACATCATCAGGGGCAACATAACCATACCTAGAATTACAAATACAGTAAGCAATGGCTGGGTTTTGACAAAGTAAAATTAAAACAGATAGCGCTACAGGAAGGTATTGAGATTCCTAGGGCACAAGAAGGTAGATTTATGATAGTTCCTGGTACATACCAATTACCAGTCACTTCTCCCTTAGCATCTGGACTGAATATGATGACATTTCCTGCATACTTATGACCTCCCACATGTGAGCATGCACTAACAGCCACGTGACCATCAAGACCTTCTGCTTCAATCTCTTCCTTGAACCTTGTAATCAAAGCAGGACCGCAAACACCACACCTTTTATCCCTGCTTCCATGGCAGCAGACAAAAACATAGGAACCTCTTATAGCCTCAGGAGATCCAGGAAGCCATTCAGTATCTTTCACGAGTACTTCTTCAACAAAGTTGTCAACATCAAAGTGGGTCAGCCCTCTGCAAAGATTACACCACGTATTGAAGAAAACAATCAGTTGACTTGTGTATTCCTACCTAATAAATACTAGTAGTAGAAATGGGAAGACTGAATGTTTATTTCTTTGCAGCTTTCAGCTACCTGTATCGGATCATATCAGGAAAGATCAACACGTCTCCAAGAGATGACTCAGTGCCATCTTCTCCTTCACAAATGGTCAGTTTGGTCTGAGAAAGTAGAACAGACCACTCATTACCAATAAAAAATAACACATGGGAAAGTCTTGTCTATTCATCTATCTAGACAGTAGACACTATAAGGTGGATTGTCTGTAAGCACAAATCACATTGCTATCAGGTCAGACACACATGCACATCACAAAACTAATAAAAAAAGGCAGGAAAGCAACATGAACTAACAAAAATAATATGACAAATTCCAACAATAGACTAATAATAATGACACCAATCAAAGAATACTTGCTTGAATTTAGATGTGAATATGAAGAAAAGAACATAAGGCATAACTTAGGAAGATTAATATCACTGAGCAGTAACACTAGATTGCCAGAAGCTGCAAAATGCTCAACAGTGACAGTACCCTCAGAGGAATTGTAACTGCCATGTACCAATATAATTACTCCCTCCGCTCCAAAATATAAGATGTTTTGGATATTTCAATATGGTCCACATACATACTTAAATGAGTGAACAAACACATTAGAACATGTCTATATACATCCGATTCACAAAAAGTTAGAACATCTTATAATTGTGAACATAGGGAACATATGGGGTAACTACATTTTTTTCTGTTGCTTAGATCCTCTTTTACCAAGGAGCAAGACGGCCAAGACCCACACAGAGAAACAAGGCAGAGGATCTTCTGCCCTCAAATGCACCAAACAAATCATGCAAGGACATCTATACAAAAACAGAAGGAACCCACAGTACTTTTCTGGTTCTATTAATAACAACTCTATATATCACACAATCAATGTCCCCTAGCATATACTCTGTAGATCACGTGCTCAATGTTTCATAATATCAACCCCATGTACTGCACTATGTGGATGAAGACAAAAGGAGCAAGCTCCTAGTCCTAAAGGGTGAACAGAGACATTAATGCACATACCACCATATGATTTCAAAGGTTCAAAGGTGCATTATAAATGCTAACCAATACAGACGGCAAGCAAAGGACGCAATAATCAAATAATGAGAAAAACATCTAAACATGAACAAACAGAGCCTGGATTTGAACCAAACTACATCCCCCACCCCTTCAAAGATAGAATAACAGGATGTGAGCAAACCCCCCAAAAAGTATAGTGTGTGGATTTAAACAAAACCATATTATCAGAGCCAGATGGACCAGAAAACCATATGAAACAGTTACAAGGAGTCAAGGAACTGTACATCATAAATAAACTGAGAACCCACCGACTATATTAGCACTGGAAATGGAGCAAAATCCATTGGATGGAGCGAGAATCCAGCAATTGGACGGTGTGAGCCAAATAATTGGTAGAGTAATCCAATTATACCCAAACAATACCAGACACGTCCAAAACATATAAACACCAAATCACCACCAGAATTCGACACGCATGGCCAATATACACACGCTAGAATGTGGGGATTCGACACCAGTTCAAACCCCAAGAGCACTATTTACATGTCCCGTTGAAAGTTGAAACAACAATAACCTTAAAGGAGAGCACCAAGCGACCAGATCTTGCGTGAAGAAGCACCAAAACAAAGTGCGAACAAAATTAAGTACAGAGACACCGACCAATCTACAGACATAATTGGCACCAAATAGCAAGCATATCAACACCACTGACCACCATAATTAAGCGAGATTCTACTGCCCAATCAGAAACAATAAACTGAAGCAAAAGCAATTGGAACTACATCGTCCCCCAACACTGATCGGATCGACTGATTATAATATTTAAGGGTCGCGATCTCCTGCAGGAACCCAGCACCACCATATGCAGACAACCAAATCGAACTACATAACATAGTACAGTAACTCGAGCAAGTCGAAAACTAGTCGTCAGCTAAATCGTAAGCTCGGAGCAACCAGCAAACAGTTTCCACTGCGAAGAACCACATACTAAAACAACACTAGCATACCAGAAGCATACGGATACCACATCACAGCACCAAATCAGCCACTCACAAAGCGAACCGAGAGGGGGAGGGAGAAGAGATGCTCACGCTCTTCTTCAGGTCGGGCTTGCGGGCCTTGATGGCGGCGGCGAGGAGGCGGGGGAGGCGGTCGGACTCGGTGGCCTCGAGGTGGGACGGCCACTCCTCGGGGCCCTTGTAGCAGAGGAACACGTGGCGCTCGTGGAAGCCCACCGTCCCGGCGAGCTTCTCCGTGTGGAGCTCCTCGCGCTGGAACCCGAACTCCTTGTCCAGATCGGCGGCCGCGTCGGGGAGGGGCGCCTCCGGCGCGTCCGAGGCCGGCGGCGGGAGGAGGGCGTCCCCGGCGGCGGGGGAGGAGTGGGAGGGGTCGGCCATGGGGAGGAGGAGGGGGAGGAGGCGGTGCTGCAGCAGTCGCCGACGGCCTGCGGCGTGCTGGGGAGGGAGGAGCGGCTGAAATGGAAATTGCTTGGAGAGTTTGGGGGAAATGGAAAGCGCCTCGGGTTTTATGGTTGGGGGCGGGCTGTTCTTGCGGGAGGGGGAAAGGAAGGCCCCACTGACGAGCGTTTTGCGTGGGCCCGGCTGTCAGTGAGGTTTGGGTTTCGTCGCTTGATGCCGTGGGACCCACGCTAGAGGGAGGTAGCGGTCAGCTAGACAGCTGGAGTTCCGTCTTCACCCTTGCAAGTGCTGTTTCGCCACTAGTGTTTGCGAGTGGGGCACACCCGTCAGCGAGCGAGGCTAGTTTCCTTTCGAGGATGACAGTTTTAATTGGTTTTTCTTGGCGAATACGCTGTAGATCTGGCCATTTTGGGGGAGGGGGGTTGTAGGTTATTTTAATGAGTAGACACCGATCAGGAGAAAGTGAGCACGAAGTGATCGCAGTTACCAATATTTTTCTATGCTCGTTTCAACAAGCTAGGATGCGTAGCGTTGAGAGATCTACACCCACCCATAGTACGCAAATCCAACAGGGCGACCCAAAGGGACGACGTTTTTGTCCGTCTTTTGTTCATTTGGGTCGATCGGCAGACACAAACATCTGCTATCGTGTTTGGGTCGACGAGAGTGCTAAACGTTAACCCGATCCATTTTTATCGACGTGGAAAATAAAAAAATGTTTGAGCATTTAAAAAATAAAACAAGCATTTAATTAAACATAAAAGCCGGCCACGAAGGCCGGTGATAGTCCACATTACATTAATTAAATATAAAAAACTAAAAACTAGAAGACGACGCGCTGCCCTAGGCGTCCTTGTCCTCGTCGGCGGCGGCGTCTGCGTCGGGGCCGGTGAGGTCGATCAGCGTCGGCGCAGGGCCGACCCAGGGGAACGTCGTGTTCTAGAGGGCGGCGATGTCGGGCTATGCCACCGCGGGCTGCACGGCCGCTGCCTGGGCCTGGCGCGCCTCCTCCTCGACCTCGCGCTCGAGCAGCTGGAGGCGCTCGCCCTCCCGGCACTCCCCGGCCAGCCAAACGTTGCGCCAGTGGTTGAGGTAGGCCGACTCCCGTTCCTCCGTCGCCCCGAGCCAGATTGGCGGAGCGCTGACCCACTCGCGCACTACTCCGGTCCACGAGTAGCGCTCGAGGGGGGCGGCTCATCCGGCTCGGCTTTGGGCGGGAACGGCTGGGTCATTGGCGGCACAACACAGTCGCCCGCCGCGGAGAGGGCCATGGCCTCCGCCATAACAGCTTGGAATGCCGCCTCCCTCTACCGCTCCTCCTCCTCGCTCTTAATGGCCGCCTGGTAGGCGCCTCGGCCTCATGATCCTCGTCGCGGACGACGAGCTGGGGCGGCAGCAGGTTGCGGTCGACGCCGCGAATGTCGCGTCGCCTCGCCTCCTCGTGCTCGAAGGCAAACCAACAAGCCCAGTTCGGCGAGTTGAAGGCGTAGTCTGGGTCGGCGCGCTGCTTCGGTGTAAGCAACGCCCGTCGGCGCCACACCTCCTTCGTATGGGCCCTCGCCGACCGCGGTGCGACCGGCACTAGGATCCTCTCCGGATCCAAATGCCAGTCATGCGATAGCATGGTGTTGGGGGGCAGAGGCGCGCGGTGCTGCCCCCCAACCCACACCCACTTGCCCCCATCTCCAGCTACAGAAGCAGGGGTGGGCGTGGCGCTCATCCACCGGCGCCATTGCCGGCGATGCACACGCGTCGGCCATCTGCCGTCTCCCCCGGGGCTATAAGGCAGCCCCGACGCCCTCCTCTCTCCCTTGACGAACCCTAGATCGAGCCTGACCCACCTGGACCTCACATTTCTCTCTCTCTCTCCTCGTCTTCTCTGCTTGCTCCCGAGTGGGGAGGTCGACGCGCCCCGCCGTCGGCGCACTCCAGCGCCACCCCAAACTGCGCCACGACGTCCGGCTGCTCCGCCGCCGTCGTACACGTCTCCTCGTCCCGTTGGATGGAGTCGAGCCGCCTCATCGACGACGCCCACCTTCGTCTTCTTCCCCTACGGCCGTCGTCGAATGTCGCCTCGATTCGCCACCGTCGAGCCTCCCCGAGCACACTCTACCACCTGCAGGACCGCGGTGAGACCTCTCATGTCGATCCCCTCCTCTCCCTGCCCTTTGCCGCGCCTAAAACGCCATCATCATTGATGGCCGAGCTATGTTCTGCCGTGTCCGATGTCGATGTTTTAGCCAACCCCGAGACGCGCCCGTGCCACCGTTGAGTTTGTAGGGCCTCTAGGGCGTCGCTTGGCTTGTCAAACATCTCAATCCGTCCTTGCATCACCTGGTCGCGCTCGTCGCGAGCTCCTAGCCGCCACGGCCGTGCTCCCCTACCGCTCCCACTGCTGCTGTTGCTGCTACGTGCTACTGCTTTGTAACACCCCGGATGTAACTTTCCCAATTTGTACTCCAACTCTTGCCGTTTCCGGCGTTAAGTTATTTTATTTTCTCGGGTTCGGGTCTTTGTCTCCGTGTGTTGTTGTCGTTGTCATGCATCTCATATCATGGCATCATGTGCATTGCATTTGCATACGTGTTTGTCTCATGCATTCGAGCATTTTCCCCGTTGTCCGTTTTGCATTCCGGCGCTTCGTTCTCCTCCGGTGGTCATTTCTAGCTTTCTTTCGTGTGTGGGGATTAAACATTTCCGGATTGGACCGAGACTTGCCAAGCGGCCTTGGTTTACTACTGGTAGACCGCCTGTCAAGTTTCGTATCATTTGGACTTTGTTTAATACTCCAACGGTTAACCGAGGGACCGGAAAGGCCTCGTGTGTGTTGCAGCCCAACACCCTTCCAATTTGGCCCAAAACCCACCTAAACCTGCTCCATCATCTAGATCGTTCGATCACGATCGCGTGGCCGAAAACCGCACCTCATTTGGACTCTCCTAGCTTCCCCTATGCCTATATATAGATCTCCTTCCAAAAATCCCGGGTCTCCCCTTCCCCTAACCCTAGATCCACCCCTCGCACGCGCCGGACATTGTCCGCCGGTGCCGGACACGCCGCCGCCAGCCACCCATGCGCCGCCACGTGTCCACGCCGCCGCCACTC